CTGCAGGCCTCTGCTCCCTGCCTCCCCTTCCCACTCTGTGCTAAGCAGGCATTCCCCCAGCCCTCACAGACACCTCAGCACTAGGTAGCAGACCACACACTGGCTGCAGTCCCTGCTGTGGGAGAGGACAAAGGTAGACAGATTTTTTGAAGCTAATTAACAGATAGCTTGATGTCCTTCCTTGGAAAAGCTGTTTAAGAGCTGTTTGCTCCCCACCTTCCTCCTCAGCACTCCCTGATAAGCAGGAATTCCCCCCTCCCCTCAGAAGTTCCTGCTCGAGTTTTTCAAACCATCTTATGTGATTTTCATAGTTAATTTTAAAAGGGTGAAGAATCCCTAAATGCTCCCTTACTCTGAAAAATCTCAAATCCATGTATTCCTCAAGTTCTTACCACGGGCATTTTGTTCAGTTCCTGATAAAAGCAAAGCATTTTTACCTGATTTAGTCCTGGCATCCCTCCGTCTCTTCCAAACGTGGAGTAGGAGGCTCTTTCTCCGCTCTTCCCTAAAGTGGAGGAAGAAACCAAAAAAAAATCATTTTGTGAAAATTTACAGAGGATGACGCTGAGCACACGCAAAGGACCACCCCCACCCCAGCTCATGCAGACTTCCCCACTAAGGCACAAAACCCATCTTTAAAAATCTGGCTTCTCGTGCTCATTATCAGGGTGTCAACTGAAGCAAATACCAGCTTGCTGCAAAACCAGGAGACCTTTTCACTTTGTGAGCAGCAGGGCTCAGTTTGTCCTTCTTAAAAAAAAAGAACCCAACACTGCAGCGATGCAGGGAGCCGCTTGCGGCCATGGAAACTGACAGTTTCAGAACAGAGCAAAAAAAATACCAAAACAACAAAAAAGCCCTGCACACCAACTAAAAAAAGCCATCCAAATATGACAGAACCAGGGACAAAATAAACCAGAAGCTAAGCATGGCTGACCAACAGAATCTGCATGTATTTTTTCCATACAATGGCAAAAATCAGTTGCAAATCCTACAGCTAGTTGCAGGCTGAAAAATTCATGTTCAATGGGGGGGGGGGGGGGGG